CCCCATCGGAAGCAGGGGGACACAGTTTGAGAACCACAGCCCAGGCTCCTGCCTGGGAGCTCTTTGCTGCCCCAGGGCTGCCTTTGTCCTGACAGCTTGGGTCCCCCTCCGCACTCTCTACTGAGCCCCTAACACAAGGCCCTGCACTGGGAAGGCCCCAGCTGGTGCTTATGAGCACCTCATCCTCTGCACCCGATCAATCGTCTGGGCAGCTGTGACAGGCTTTATTGTGACTTAGGTGAGTGAGCTTGGGCAAGTCACCTGACCTCTGCATGACAGTTTCTTTCCTTGCATGGAGCTTCTGACTCTACCAACCTCACAGGTTTAGGAGTAAAATAGGACCCTACCAAAGCAAGAGTGCAGAAAGCAAATGAGGTCCTTATTCATGTAACCCTGGGACTGAACTTAGCAGTAGCTTCTGCTCACCTCTGCAAGTTAGCAGCCAGCCTGATGGTCTCCTAGGTCTCTACCCACAGGACTGTGCCAGGAGCGTGGCTTTGCTTGGTGTCCCTCGCTGAGAGGTGTGGCCTGGACTTGCCTCTGGAAGCCTCCCTTTGCACCTGGTGCGGGGTGTCTCCACTGCCCCGTTCAGTTCCCCAGCATCGGCTGTCATGAGCTGTCTTGCTTTGCTTACCTCCCCAAGGGGTGTGTAACCCGGGCTGCTTTGACATACACTGGCTGGTGGGAGACCTGGGTTTAAAGGCAGATTCAGGTGGAAGTGACAGTGGTGGCAAACTTGACCGTTCACTTATCCCATGGCTCTTCTTGCACACCCAGTGTGCCGGGTACTGGGGACATAGTAGTTTCTCACGGGCAGGTAGATAATATGTAATACAAGTCAGAAGGGAATGGATAACTTGTGATCAGAACGGTGGAGAAAACAGATGCCTAATGGGAAGTTTCAGGAGGGGACCCGGTAGGCAGAAAAGACGTGTCTGACATTTTTGATGAGTGGAGAAAGGGGGCAACTGGAGCAGATCCTTTCAGGTGGAGGGGCCAATAGGTCTGAGGGAAGAAAGTGCTGGGCGTGGCCTAGGCCTGGAAGGAGAGCTGCTGTGCCTGAGTGAGGTGGCCAGGGGGAGACCACCAGGGCGAAGCTGGAGAGGGAGACAGGGCGGATCTGCAGCGCAGGGGGCTGGGTAAGGAATGTAGCCTGAAGTGTTTCTTTTGCTTCCTGGGCTGGTGGTTGGGAATGGCACCTGGGTGGTGTCTGAGGGCTGTGAGATAAGGGACACCTCACTGGGTACCTGGCTCAGCTTGTCAGAAGAGGTTGTAGGGGTGGGGGGCGGACACCTGTGCCGAAACCAGAGGCTAAAGAAGAGCCTCAGTGGCTCCACACCCCCTCCCCCCACCCTCCAGAAGCTGCTAGAACAGAAAGTCTGGTTGGCAAGTCCAGGGAGGGGCTGAGCAAGACTGAAGGGCAAGGTGCAAACATCACCGTCAGTACTGAGGAAACAAGTTAATGGAACGGCGGCCGGGGCAGAATGTGGAAAGTGCAGAACCGGCGGGTGGGGGTTAGGAGGAACCTGGGCCTGTACTGGGGAAGTCCTGGCGAGAGAGGAAACGGCCGTGGATTATGTTCCAGTGATTTTACAACCCTCAGCCTTCCAGGCAGTTTTCTTGTTTTGTTTATAAAGAAACCCAGGCCAGCTGCAAGCTCAAGGTCACACTAGCCAGGCCAGACAGGTTTTCCAAATTCAGAAGGGAGTAGGATTCGCCAGCCAATAGAATTTGGATTCCTTCCTCATGAAGATCATTGAAGAAAAGTCAGGGAACCCTTCAGGCCTGGTAAATGACTTGTCAGTGCGTGTAGGTCTCAGATGGAGAACGGGGAACAGGGAGAAGGGGGAAAGGTCCCCCAAGAAGGAGGAGCTGGGCAGGAGGCTGAGTAAGGGCCATATTCCAGGCTTCGTGGGGGACGGAGCAGAAGTCATGGCTGTGGGAAGTGGAGGCGTGTTCAGGGTCTTCCCTGCACAGGTTGGAGGGGTGGCGGGGCCCTCCCTGACATGCCACCTCTGTGTATCTTCCAGGCCCAGAGGCTGCTGGGCCAACGGAGGCCCCGCCGGTCCTTCTTCGAATCCTTCATCCGGACCCTCATCATCGTGTGTGCGGCACTGGCCATGGTCCTCTCCTCTGTCTCCGTCTGTGACGGTCACTGGCTCCTGGCTGGGGACCGCCTCTTCGGGCTATGGCACTTCTGCACCAGCTCCAACCAGACTGGGCCACACTGCCTCAGAGACCTGAGTCGGGCCCGCGTGCCAGGGCTGGCTGAGGGCATGGTCCTGGCCCGCAGCATGGGCGCCTTGGCCGTGGTGGCCGCCATTTTTGGCCTGGAGCTCCTCATGGTGTCTCAGGTGTGCGAGGACCTCCACTCACGGCGCAAGTGGGCCCTGGGCTGCGTCCTCCTCCTCATCTCATTTGTCCTCTCCTCTGTGGGGCTCCTGAGCTTTGTGATCCTCCTCAGGAACCAGGTCACGCTCACCGGCTTCACCCTGATGTTCTGGTGCCAGTTCACTGCCTCCTTCCTCCTCTTCTTGAACGCCATCAGCGGCCTTCACATCAACAGCATCAGCCATCCCTGGGGCCAGCTGAGGGAATTTTAGGCCCTCCTCCAAGGACATCGGGTTCCACAACAAAGTGGTCAAGACGTGACTTCTGGTGGGGGTAGGGGTGGGACAATGACCTTGGAACTGCTGCCTCTTACCCAGTAACCTTTGGGGGCTCAGCCAGAAATGGCCCAGGGCCCTGTGCCCAGGGCCAGAGGCCAGGAGCGTGCCTCCATGCCACCAACTGCACAGTGTAGCCAAGTTACTAGCACGTAGATTGTAGGACACATTGTAAAATCCTTTTCTTGAATCCTCCTTCCCAGGACGGGAATCGATTTGGAAGCAGCTCAGGTAACTGGTGCCTGGGCTGGCTGCGCAGCCACGTGCTGTTCCCACCTGCTTCCCGGCGCTGTGCTGGGAGACCAGCTGCAGGGTCCCTGGGGCCTCCGCGGTGGCTAAGAGTGGATCGCCTTCCAGCTAAGGGTGTCCAGCCGAGCCTAGGACTTCCTTCCACCAACTCAGGGGACCTCTGGGCACGCCTCTCTGCTTTAGCTTTGGTCATGCCAGGGAGGCAGAATTTAGGATTTCTTGCACCTGGTAGTTTTTCAAACCATTTTACTTGATTTGACCCCTGCCCTTTGGGGAACCCTGTAATCCCTGTATAACCCCCTGCTTCCAGCAGCTGGCTGTCTCTGTTGGGGGCTCTGCCTGTGGGATTCCTGCCTGACCTCTTTGAGAAGAGTTTAGAGCAAGCCTTCCAGAAAAGTCCACCTGACTTCTAATGCGCAGCGCTCCCTGAGGCAAGTGTGCGTGCCCAGCTTTGGTGAGGATCAGGCAGCCTGAGGTGCACCATCTCTGATCCCAGAACACATTCAGAGAGCAGCTGCTGGACCCTGGGTGATGGTTAAACTGAAGATGCTCGCAGGTGAAGGGGACCAGGAACCAGTGAAGATTTCCATCTCACCAGCAGATCAGTGTTTGGGGCATTAAACGGCCCCCTTTCCAGTGCCTTTGTGCCCTCAGCCCACCTCATTCCACCCCAGCCCTCCCGCTCTCCTACCGAATGAAGTCTGGCCTGCCCTGGCTCACTCTGCCTGCCACTGGGTGTATGAGTTTTGGTCACTCAGTTTCCCTTCCTGGGCTGGGCTGGGTGCTTGTACCTACCTCTTGTGTTTTTAAAAAACTTTTATTCCAAAATGCACAGTCTGTGGAAATGGCTCAAGAAAGGTATTGTGGGCCAATCGGTAATTGGAGGGCAGAGCTCGTCAACCGTGTAGGCTGGGTTCTTAGCCCTGGGAAGTGGGCACCTGGCCTTCACCAGGAGCAGTCTTCAAGGGGCAAAGGGTGACCTTGTCTCTGCAGAGGTGGGGGGCCAGGTCCCAAAGAGGGATAGCACTCACCCAGGGCCACCCAGAGCCGGGACTAGAGCTGGACCCCTCACCAGCAAGATGCTCTTTCTCTACAGTGGGGGGTGGGGTCTCCACTCTGTCCAGATGCATGGGCCAAAGAGCACTGGTAGTTTTTGTTTTGTAAAAGGGTTTAAATATTGAGCACTCTTTAATCCTCACAAGGCTGGCGGGGAGGGAGTGTTGGTATTCAAGGGAACTGAGATCCAGGGAGGAAAGGGTGGGACTAAAATCCCCAATGGGATGGGGAGACAGCCTTGGAGCTTGGGGACTTGAGACATAAAGCCCTGGACTGGCTTCTGCCCCCTCCTGGCCTAGTAGTTTGGGCAAGTCACAGGGCCTGGGTGAACCTGCTTCACTTCTATCAAATGGTATAATGCCCCCTCTCCTGCTCTCCCTGCCTTGGGGGCCCAGGATAACTGACTGACAGGGCAGTAAGGCGGAGGGATGCGTCAGACCATGTCAGGGCTACTAAAGGGGAGCTGGGTCCTGGGGCTGTCCTGGCCTCCCCTGGGACTTGCCCAGATTAATTCAGTCGTCTTGAAGGCTCTAGGAGAGTGGTTCTCAACCTTGGCTTCACATTAGAATCAGCTGGGAATCTTTTTAAAATCCTGATTTCTGGGCCTCATCCTCCGGAAATTCTGTTTCTTCGTTATGGGGTGGGGCCACAACATTAGTAACAAAAGAAACAGAATTTCCAGAGGATGAGGCCCAGAAATCCAGGATTTTAAAAAGATTCCCAGGTGATTCTAATGTGCAGCCAAGGTTGACAACCACTGCTCTAGGATGAGAGCTCCTGGACAGGTGAGGGGCAGGGAGGGTCCCCCTGGGGCCAAGGACCGTGATGTCTCATGTTTCCGGAGCTTCTAAGTTTGTCCCTGAAAATGAGCAGGGGACCAGGGAAGCCCCTCCTCCAGGAAGCAGTAGGGAGTTGACCAGAGCACCCTCCCTCACCTGTCTCAAGGACAAGGAGACCGACCACACCATATCTCACCTCAGTTCCCATTTATTTTCCTCCTCCCTTCTCAGACCCCTGAGCTGCTCTCCCCCCTCCCTGTCCCATGCTGCCCAGGTTCCTTCTGTTGAGTTCTGAGGGACTCTCACCCTCCAACCCAAGGCCTGGAGAAGAGGTCACTAGTCGCAGGAGAAAGCGTATGCTGCCTGGGGGGAGATGGACTGTCCCGAAGCAGTGTCCTGCTCTCTCAGGACCCAGCGTGGCCTATGTCCACGGTGGCCCTGCTCCGACCTCTCAGATGACGCTGGCCCTGCAGGTGCCCCGGCCCGGCTCCGAGGGGCTGGCCTTGGTGCCATGGGTGAGGCTGCTGGTGCCGATGCTAGAGGAGTTGCTGAGGGCCATGGGGCGCAGTGGAAGCTCACGCAGGTGCCACTGCCGCCACTTCTTCTGAACCTCCAGCTGCACCTGTCCCGGAGACCAGCCATCAGCCCAGGAGGGAACAGCAAGAAGGGCCCGGGGCCTAGAGTCCTGCTCACCCCCTGGGGCCTCGGCACGGTCCTGCCACTCCTGCCCAGGAGTCATGCCTCCCCACCTCCTGCAGGCCACTCGGATTGACCAGCTCCAACCCAATGTCCAGGGGGTACTGAGGGCCCTTCCCTGGGCACGATCACCTGCCATCTCACTACAAATGTCCTGAAGGGCTTGTCGTTGTCACACTAGCTCCAGGACACCAACATCCACATCATCCCACGGGACAACAGGACATGTTCCCAGGAAGCCACCCCAGCTCAGAGCTAATCTGAGGGCCAGAGAGCTGCTCTGGAAATTTCCCCCATGACCCCGCTGTAGCAGCCGAATCCTTGAGGCTGGGCTTGGTGGCTCATTCTGGGAAAACGTCAGAAGTTATCCCCATTAGTGTGTGGCGAGGCAGACAGATGGCCAGCAGTCACAGAAAGGCCTGACTTATGTGCCATGCCGTGTTCACGAGTGATTACCCAGCTTCTGTGTGCCAGGAACCTCATGTCCTGACCCAAATGCTGGGTAAGGGCACAGGCCTCAAGGTACGCGAGCAGGCCCCAAGGAGTCAGTGGCCACTGGGAGCCTTTGAGTTGGCAGAAGTGTCATTGGAGTTATTCATTTTACAGATGGGAAGAGTGAGGCTCAGAGTGGGCAGTGACAAGTCATCGTCCAGCCAGGAGCCCGGCTTCAGGGGGGTGCCTGCACTCTCCTCCATTTCCTGACTTTCCCAGGATAAGCATCTGCTGCAATGCTTGTTAAAAGCATTCCAGGCTCCAACCCAGGCCATTTTTGCTGACTGGAAACTGGGGGTAGGGCCCAGCAATTGTTTACCAAGCCTTCCAGGTGAGTCTGTTGCTCCCATAAAGTGACTCAGACTCTGTGAAGACAGGCCCAAGTCCGGACACCCCGGCCTGCCCTGCCCACACCCCACCACCCTTTCCAGGCAGCTCGCTCTGACCTGGAATCCAGTGACTGGGAGCCCCTCCAGGCGCTAGGCTGCCTGATCACTCACCTCCCCGTTGAGGAAGCAGTAGAGGACGGCCACCACCAGGCCCTGCGGAGGGACAGGGCAGCAGGGTTAGTGCCGGTGCCCAGCACTCGCCTCCCCCTAACCTCTTCCTCAGCTCTTCCATCACCAGCCCAGGGTCCCCCCCCCCCCCCCGCCCCCCAGCCCCAGGAGTGCTCCAGAGCCTTCTCACACCCTTCACCGCAGGGGGATGGGCTGCCTCTTCTGTCTGTGCTGCATCACCAGCACAGACAGCTCCTTGGGGCAAGGACAGGGTTCCTTTCATTTGTTGTCCCCAGTGTCTAGCGTAGACCTTGCACATGTGGTGTCAGTGACACTGAAGTAAGGGCTCTCACAGGGCATGGGGAAGGCCAGTCACCTGATTAGTCAGGTGGGCCACCTGGGAGAAGCAGGGGGTAGTGGCACCTGGAGGAGGGCTTGGGGCCATCCATGTGACACCCTGGGCCCTGAGTGGGCTCGAGTTCAAGACAAGCAGAGCCTTCCCAACCGGAACCGCCATCTTCCCATAATTCGCCAAAATAACTAACACAAAGGGAAAGAGAGGCCCTGCTACACGTTCTCTTAGAAAACACGAAGTTGCTCCTTGGGCCACATACATGCGAATCTACGAGAAAGGCGATGTTGCTGCCTTCAAGGGCACTGTTCAAAAAGGATGCCCCACGGATGTTCCCAGGGCAAACGGAAGGGTTGCAGTGTCACCCAGCAAGCGTGGGCATTGCAAACACACAAGGGCAAGATTCTTGCCAAGAGAATGAAAGCAGGAGTTGAGCATATCAAGCCTCCAAGAGGTGAGAGAGCTTCCTGAAACGTAAAGGAAAATGTTCAGAACTAGAAGGAAGCCAAACAGAAAGGTACCTGGGCTCAACTGAGGTAGCTGCTCCGCCCAGAGCAGCTCCTGGTGAGAACCAACACTTCGGAGCCTGGACTGCGGGAGCCCCCTACCTGGGAGCTCATGGCATGACAGGTGTAAAGAAACAAAAGACCTTTGTTCTGTTCAAAATGTTGTTTTCAATTGAGTAGAAGAGTGGTGTTCCTCCCCCAAAGAAATATTTAAAGGAAAAAAAGATAAGCTGGAGATGTTTAAACATGGCCAACTATTCAAACTGAAAAATAAATGTGCCGATATGTGGTCAGAATAAGCCTGTGTGCACGTCAGCCAGCCGTGGGTGTGACCTCCCCGCTAAAGGACAGGTGAATGCATCTCCTGGGGCAGGGGCCTTCGGGCCACATCCGATTCGTGTTCCCTAGTGTGGTGGGGGCCTGTGCCTCCTGCTATCAGGAGCTCCTGTTTGCCCAATGGTGCTCCCTGGGATCCGGGCATGGAGCCCTGCCAGGGTAGGGATTACAGCCTGGGATGCAGGATTTGAGCCTAATAGGTGTGCGGAGAACCATGAGCCATGAGCAAGGTCTCTGCAGTGCAAATTCCCTGCTCACCTCCTCAGGGACCCACCTTGGGCCACCCTGCTCTTCCTTACATTACAGGCTCCGCCCGAGGCCCAGGTGTCACAGCTCTGACCTCAGTGGCCAAGCCCTCTTCCCCAATTCCATCGAGGCCTGCCCTTAGCTACTTACTACATTGGAAAGGACCCCAAAGAGCAAGAAACCAGCCCGTCTATAGTGGGCTTAATCCCACGACTGCTCTGGGGTGTTGGCATTTAACAAGGCTTAGTGACAAAACTAGGAAGACTTGCTTTAGATTTTCAGGCATCAATGACTGCTGCCTAGAATGGGGACAACTTGGGGCTGGGGGGTGGTAAACACTTACCCAAAGCAGAAATTTTGCTGCACATTAGAACACCTGGGAGCCTGCTCAGGTTTTACTCTGCGCCCCAAATCTGAATGTCTGGGAGTGGGCCATCAGCAGCTTTGAACAATCCCCAGGTGGTCGGGGTGGGCATCACTTAGGAACCACTGCCAGGGGGCATGAAGGGCAGGCCGAGATAAGCAGCTTTGAGCACAGCTTGGCCTGCACAACTGTGGGCTTCTGGGTGCCAGGTGCTTCATTGAATCCTTGCCAAAGCTCTGGGAGGTGGGTGGGAGGATCCCCTTTGCAGGTGAGTGACCTGAGCCTCGGGGGTTCAGGCAAGATGAGAGCTGTGTGTGCTTGGCCCGGAGGGGGCGGTCAGGCTGCCGGCTGAGGCTGCTGCCCACCTCCCTGGGCCCAGGGTTGCCTGGCCTCACCTGTCTGGGCCCCAAAGATCCAGAGACACGTTTTCACAGGTGAGGGCAGGAGCCCTGGGCCAGGGAAAGTTAGATGTGCTCCAGGTACATATAAGGCAGGCCTTGCACAGCCAGCCACTGTGAGAAATTCTGCAGTCATTCAAAAGGGAGTCTTTAAAGACGTAATGACGTGGGGAATTGTTCATGATGGGCCTGGTAGAGAATTAAGCAAACAAGCAAGATACAAAAACACAGCTTGATCCCAGTTACAGGTGCCTGGGGGTTCACCTGTGTGTGTCTTCCTGCACAGAAAAGACACTGAGAAGTAAGCACCCACATCTCAACAGAGGTCATCTGTGGGTTCTGAGCTTATGAATGAATTTTTCTCTTTCAACTTTTCCTTACTTTCCAAATTTCCTCCAATAAGCAAGTATTATTTCTACAATTGGAAAGAGCGAATAAACTTTGGTTTTTAAAAACATTGACAGGGGTAATAGTATTGTGGTCCTGTGTGTGTTCTTTAAGTCCATCTTTTAGAAATAAATACTAAAATAATTACATTTGAAATAAAATGATGTCTTGGATTTGCTTAAGATGCTGGGGTGGGGGTGGGGGTGGAGGGAGTGGATGGGGCTGGGGATGAAACGGGATATGCCACTGGCAATGGCCATGTGGGGTTCACTATTTTCTTCACTTTTATATACATATTGGAGAAATTTTCCATAATACAAATTTAAAAAATATATGTTATATATAATATAAATGTATAATGCATGATACAATGATATATGTTTGTATATAAACAAAGGTTCTGTTAAAAAAACACACTCAAGATCCTTTTTCTTTGTAAGCATTTCTATGGAATGCAGGAAAATGCTCTTGGTTTTCTCTGGACAAGTCACTTCCCCAGAGAAGAACCTTTTCCTGGGTGTCCACAGCCCCAACTACAAGCCCCAGCGCCCAAGGGCAGGGAGTCCCTGTCCACACAGGGGGCCACCTGTGTCTGTGCTCTCAGAGAGGCCACTACCCCTCTCAGCTGGGTCAGGCCTTCCATCTGCCTGGACCTGGGAACCTTCCCGCCTCCCTCCGCCCCCGCCCCCCCCCCCCGGAGTGAATTTGCCGAAGGGCACAGGACCTAAGATCAGATGAGTTCTTTTAATAAGGCAGTCCCATAAAAAAGTGAACTTGGGCGGTAGGAAAGGATGAATCAGGAAAACATGATAGCACGGCTTTTTATGAGGAGAAAAAATGATCTGTTCCCCATTATTTATAACCTGTGCATTTCAGGGTGAAAAGAATTGAAAAATCAAGGAGTCAGGAAAAACCCACTTTAAACCCACATGCCTGCACATGCCTACTGGAAGGGATACTCATATAAGATATATAACATAAATGGGGCGACTGCCGGAGAAAGGAGGATTAAGAAAAAGA